AAAAAAAAAAAAAAGCCTCTTAAGACCCTGAGTTGCTGCCTCACAAGTGACTGCCCAGGTTGTCCACGTACCAGCCCCCTCTGGTGGCTCAGCTGCCAGACCTGCAGTCTCGGTCATCCCTGAGCTGGCCCAGCAGGGAAACACCCACAGGAACCTCACAGTTGTGACCCAGGGTGCTTAACTCTTCCTGGTTGAGAGGAGATGCAACTGGTTTAGACCCAGCAGTAGACTTCTCAGGAAATTGTGCGTGCTAATGTGAAGGCAAAGCCACACGTCATGTAGCACCGTCATGATATTCTGATTCCAGAGGGAAGGTAGAAGACTGATCCATTTACCGTGCCGTTTTCCAATAGGCCAACATTATAAATATGTGGAGTTTATCATGAAATGATACTGGACAAGTCACTTTTGCGGTTATGAAAATAATACATACGCATCGTACAAAATACGAGAAGGAATAAAAGAACAAACAAAAAATCATCTAAAATCTTGCCATTCAGAAAACGTCACTGTCTAAAGGTTTGTGCATTTGTTTTTGACCGTTTCTCTTCACATGTGATTCTTAAATAAAATTTGGATCAGACTCTATATGCTGTTTTTATTTTTTTTAAAGATTTTATTTATTTATCTGCAAGAGAGCACAGCAGGGGAACGGCAGGCGAGGGAGAGGGAGGAGCAGGCTTCCCGCCGAGCAGGGAGCCCGATGCGGGGCTCGATCCCAGGACCCTGGGATCATGACCTGAGCCGAAGGCAGATGCTTAACGACTGAGCCACCCAGGCGTCCCTATATGCTGTTTTTAAATAACAACTTTATTCAGATATAATTTATATACCCTACAGTTCACCTCCTCAAAGTGTACACTTCAGTGATTTTTAATATATTTACAGTTGTGCAGTTCATCACCACAGTCAACTTTAGAGAAGTTTGTTCACTTTCCCCAAGAAAAACCCTGCACCCGTTGGCAGCCACCCCCCTTTCATTCCACCCCATTGGTTCCCTGCATCCCTCTGCCCCAGCCCTAGTCAACCACCAAATAGATTTGCCTATTCCGGACATTTCATATAAATGGAATCATACAATATGGGGTCCTCTATGTTTTTAACTTAGCATAGTGTTTTCAAAGCTCGTCCATGTTGTAGTATATATATAAGAATTTCACGGGGTTTACGGGGTTTTTTTTTTTGCCAAATACCATTCCATTGTATGGATAGGCTATATGTTGTTTCCCCAGTTGATGGGCATTTGGGTTGTTTCCACTTTTTGGCTATTAAGAGTAACGCTGCTGTGAACATTTGTGTGCAAGTTTAACCATTTGGGACCTTACAGTTTCTTCAGAGTTGGAAGAAAATTCTTACATGGACAGCTTCCACATTTCTTGCTTCCCTAAAGTAATTTTATAGAAATGGAATCACTGACTAAAAGAAAAAGACATTGCATTTCACAGAACTTGTCAGATGGTTTCTGAGAAGACTGCACTGATCGTCTCTGTGCTCGCTTCAGTGTTACTAGACTATGTGCTTAGTGATGGGCATTTTTTTAAAGATTTTACTTTATTTATTTAGAGAGAGTGTGTGTGAGCAGGGGGAGGGGCAGAGGGAGAGGGAGAGAATCTCCAGCAGACTCCCTGCTGAGTGCAGAGCCTGACACGGGGCTCGATCCCACGACCCCGAGATCATGACCTGAACCAAAACCAAGAATCAGACGCTCAACCTACTGAGCCACCCAGGTGCCCCAGTAATGGGCATTTAATATAAAGTGCTATGAAACGGAAGCCCATGAGTTTTTGAAAAGACAGGGTCCCTGCTATCAAGATGCATAAGTCCATATTTAGACCAGATGGGCAGATGTAGATCCAGGGGTATTAGGTAGCAAGGTTATGTGCATTATGTGGAGAGAAAAATAGACTGGTTAGATAAAGTAAATATTTACCTGCCCAGGATGAGATAATCATCAAGCAACTTTTTGCACCTCAGAGTTAAACAGAAAAGTTAATGGAACCAAAGTGGCCTAGGGACTAGCTGGTCCAAAGTCATAAATGGTCCGGATCGCTTAGTATGAACCCTTACCCTGCTTTTCAGAAGACTCGGATGTCAGCACAGTGCCCGTTGACTCTTGGGGCCCATCAGATCTGGTTCCGGCTGCCTTGCGACCTATACTGTCTCACGATTTCTTCAGATTCCTTGGGACATCTAAACAGCATTCCCTTATTGCCCTGTTTCTCATTCTGTTACTCAGAAAAATACCACTTAAAGATGATAAAATCAGCAAGTAGTTCAGCTATATAGCTGAATATGGGGGTAAACAGTCCAGCCTTGCTCAGACTTACCCTGTTCATGCTGACACTGGCATGATTTCATGCCCAACATGACCACCAAATTCCATCCAAAGCAATTGACCGATCGGGATCCGGAAAGAGCATTGATTTGGAAAATTTGATTGGAGAAAGTTCTAGAGCTCTTCCAGTAAGCTTCTTTGAAGCAACCGTTAATGCGGAAGCTGGTTGCAGTGCTTTTTTTCCCCCCCCAACTACCCAGACTCAGCCTTTTGAAACTGAACCATACCACATTGCAGATTCCATTTTCTAACAGGTCACGCCCACTTCTGTTACATAACTCTTTCAGAATACGCCGCGTAGGTAACTGGCGAAAGCGCTCTGCTACTATCAGGAAGCTGCAACTGTTAAGCCCAAGCTTAAAGAAACAGAAACCTCTTTTCTCTTTTCTTTGCAGCTGTAAAGATGTCTGACCAGAAGCAGGTAGCTGCCAAAGCCTCCCTTATTGAGCATCTGATGTCTAAAAGGAATTTTGAGGATCTTGGCAACCACCTTACTGAGCTGGAGACTCTTCACGTGACTAAAGAGCATCTCCAGGAGACCGTCGTGGTCAGGGCTGTGTACAGAGTCCTCAAAAACTGCCCTATGGTGGCTTTGAAAAAGAAAGCCAAGCGTTTGCTGTCAGAATGGAAAGCTCTTTATAAGGATCTCCACTTCAAACCAAGGGACAGCCCTGAATCATTCCCTACGGGCAGAAACTCCAGACTTTCTCATGACCCAAGTCAGGATGAGATATCAGGCGGCTGCAGTTCTAATTCATCACCCCACGATGTTGCAGGAGCCATTGAAACACTTGTGCCTGAAAATAGCACGAGTCAGATGGAGCCCGGGGAGGAGCATTTCAGGGGTGGTGACCCAGAATCCACTGACCAGAGATCCACTGAGTCGCTGGATCCCACAGTACCTGTGAGAGCTAAATGCACAGAGCTTCTCTATGAAGCTTTAACGAGTTCTTGCACAGATCAGCCCAAAGCTGATTTGTGGCAAAACTTTGCAAGAGAAATTGAAGGGCACATTTTTACCCTTCATTCGAAGAACCTCAAAAAGTACAAAACTTGTGTTAGAAGCAAAGTTGCCAATCTGAAGAACCCCCAAAATTCTCACTTACAACGGAACTTGCTCTCTGGGACCACGTCTCCGAGAGAATTCGCCGAAATGACGGTGCTGGAGATGGCGAGCAAGGAACTGAAGCAGTTGAGAGCCTCCTACACGGAATCTTGCATACAGGAGCATCGCCTTCCCCACACCACTGAGGGCACGCAGACAAAGAAAATAAAATGCAGACGCTGTGAGAAGTTCAATTGCAAGGTCACCGTAATCGCCAGAGGAACACTTTTCCTGCCAAGTTGGGTGCGGAATTCAAATCCAGATGAAGAGATGATGACCTATGTGATCTGTAACGAATGTGGGGAGCAGTGGTATCATAGCAAGTGGGTCTGCCTGTGATGGTAAATAAATGTTTTCTTAACCAAGAACTGGAGTGATACCGTGTTTTTTTTGCTGCCACCCTTTTGTGCTTGGTTTTAAAATCTTACACGCACTATATCCTTTTTTTTTTTTCCAAGATTTTATTTTAGGGGCACCTGGTGGCTCAGTTGGTTAGGCGACTACCTTCAGCTCAGGTCCGTGGTCCCAGAGTCCTGGGACTGAGCCCCGCATGGGGCTCCCTGCTCAGCAGCGAGCCTGCTTCTTCCTTTCCCTTTGTATTCTCTGTCACTTTCGCTCTCTCTCCAATAAATAAATAAAAATCTTTAAAATTTTATTTTATTTATTGGAGAGAGAGGGAGATAGCGAGAGAGAGCACAAGCAGAAGGCAGGGAGAGGGAGAAGCAAGGCTCCCCACTGAGCACGGAGCCTGATGCAGGGCTTGATCCCAGGACCCTGGGACCATGACCCGAGCCAAAGGCAGATGCTTCACTGACTGAGCCACCCAGGCGCC